AAATTGATGACGTCACCTGAAAAGTTTGCCGAATAAATCCTATCTAAAATGTAGAAAATATGATGAGTCTGTAATTTATCACTCCATTCATATTTTTTTGATTTGCATATACACGGTGACTCAAAAAAAATTAATGGATGCCTGAATATATTTTATTTATTTAATCAGGAACTACTAAATCGAATGCTTGGAAATCTTGGAGATGTTTTGCTGTTATCATAAGCATGGTAAATTTTTACTCAAAATATATTTTTTGATCCCCACCCCAAAATTTATTGATTTATCATTCTGTTCATAATTTTTGGATTTGCATATACAGGGTGACTCAAAAAAATTAATGAAAGCGTAAATTTATTTTATTGATTTAATCGAGAACTACCAAACCAAATGGTTTGATATCTTGGAGATGTATTAAAGTTATCATAGGCATGGTAAATTTTTGCTCAGCCCCCCCTAAAAAATTTGATCACCCCAAAATTTTAAATGTGAATTGTGCAAAGTATGATGAGTCGATAATTGTGATTTATCACTGCATAAATATTTTTTAGATTTGCTTATACGGGGTGTGTGAAAAAAATTAATGACTGAATCAATTTATTTTATTGATTAAATCAAGAATTGTAAAACACTTTGAAATCTTAACGTTTTGAAGTTAAGCATGATGACTGTTTAATGGAAATGTATCTGTTTATCAACCCCAAAAAATTGATTACGGCATCTCAAAATTTTGCCGAATAAATTCTTGTGCAAATGTGCAAAAAATGAACAGACTTTTAAACATTGCATTCATATTTTTTAAATTCGCTTAAACAGGTGTCTCAATAAATTAATGAATCAGTGAATTTATTATTGATCAAATTAAGAACGAGCCACTGGTTAGCCGTGGTCCATACGCAGCGAATAAATTTCAACCGCCTAGCCCTATTTTTTTTTTAGTATTACACTACATCTATCCGAACTGATATACGTGTCCTTGCAAAAATGTTGATAACGTCATCGCAAAAATTTTTTAAAATGCTCCGCTCCAAAATGTAATGAAAAAAAAACATAATAGGCGTGCCGTCGTCACACTTCCGACAGCGAAGGAAGTACTGTCTGAACTCTTTAAACCAATTTTTTCATTAAAGTTTTATCGAAATGCACAATACTTTTAACGGTATTTGCGGTGTTAGTTCCGTCTCTCATTTTGCACACCTTTTCAAAATTGCTTGCAGTTAACCGAATTGCCCTTTTTTTACTCCATTCACTACACATTCGCTGACCACAAGTAGCTTTTTCAATAGCGTTTACGTTACTTTGTGACAGCTTTGTTAATAAATCCGATTTTTTCTTTCATTTAGGTAATATATCTGCAGTTTTCGTGTTCATTGTCGACGATATTATTTTTGGTGCAATCGGAATCCGCACTTTGGATACGTATCTTTTTAATAATCGTTTTTATTTTCGAAGTTTAGAAACCTCGGAATCAGAATTATCAGGATTAACTTTAGATAAGATATAGGACTTTGTTTTAGAAATGTTTTGCTTAGTGTCTTTCGGTATAACACTGATTTTAGTTGCAGAGTTTAGTGCTTCAACATAAGATGGTACATACATTTGGTGAAGAACCCAATGTAACGTTTTTTCCTGATAACATTTCTTCTAAATTGTAAATTTCACTTTGGAGTAGAGCATTTGTTCCTTTTAGATTAAAGATAAGTTAACTGAGCACTGAACGCACTGAATTGCAAAAAAATTGCCTGTGTGAAATCAGAAATCTACAGATTGGATTCCTTAAGTAGCTCGACAACTATAGAGGAGTTATCTTGCTCTAACGAAGGAGGGGCACTAGAAAAATCGCAAGTCCAAACTTTTAGTTCACTTGCATATTTTGTCACCAAGTAGATACCTTTCCTTATCGACCCCAACACAATTGATATAACAGTTATTGCAGTTTTTGCGGCATGACAAATATTCATCCTGTCTAGTGATGGTTTTATTGTATTTATTGCACCTGATCGGCTTGAGGGCACTACTTTCACCAACTATACAACCTAGATAATTAAACCGTACAAGGGGCAAGCCAGAATATGACGAACGCCCCGCTCAGGATTCCGTAGACAGTGTATATAAAGACACAAAGCAAAACGGTTGGAGAAGACATGGGACCGGACTAGTTACAGATGGAGAACGGGTGGATCGAAATGACGTAGCTATCGGAAGCGGCGCCACTGCCTGTCAAGATTTTTTTCCTGTACCTCGAGCGCTTAGCAATCGACCACTGCGCAGGCAGACGTATGAATACAACAAAATTAAACTTCACTACCTGCACCTCGTCGCCTACTGATCGCTTCGTAGCGAAGGTCGTAACCAACGAGATTTCCTAGAATCGGTAGTACATCGGGGCGCTACCTTTCCGCTAGTTGATTGGCCAATCTGATACCCGAAACGATAGTTTTCTACCCTAGTACTACTTACCTGTACGCCGGGGCGTTCTTGGCTTCCTCCGTAGACGATCTCCTAGTCCTAGACCGGGTGGGCTGACGAGTTTATGCTCTTGGGGGGCCCGGTGGCTTAGCTGCCTGCGGGCTCCACTCACGGTGGGTGTAGCGGGAATTATACTTCGGGTCGTTGCGCCGAGGTAAACAAAGATCCAAAGTAACGGTTGCCAGATGGACGATAACGGCGTTACCAGGAAAGAAAAGTAAAAGATAAGCGGACCAAGCGTAGATGATAAGACGCCGAAATAAAAAACTGGGACAAGTCCAAAACTGCTCTGGATTGAACTGCTCATTCCATGGGCACTAACCACGGGAAAGCCCTATTAGCAACGGGAATTCTACAATTTTTATACTTACTAGGGTTAGGAGTGGATGGCTTACTTTTGAGGGCAAACGACCGAAAACGCAGACAAGACAAGATGACCGCTATGTTAAACAAGGGTACGCGCACTCGTACCGAAGCGCGAAAAACCGATTAGGGAAGGGTAAAGCAACATTGTCGAAACCGAAACGTCACAAAAGGATGTATAGATATCAGGGCTTAAAACTCTATTATATTCTGTCTGTAGAATATAAAGCTTTGTCGCTGTTAGAGTTTAAAAGAAAGATTCGAATAAAACTTCTAGACGCGAAATTATATGCAAGTCAAAAACTTTTGGAGCGATTTTGGACGAATACTAAATAAATACTTATGTAATGTCACTAGTATTAATAATTTTTGTCTTATGTCTTATCTTATCTTAATACGGAAGAGTGTTTATTACACATCGAGACGAATAAGCTGTATTCGCTTGTGGAAGATTCAGCTATAACTGAATGTTTCAACAATCGTTTTTCATTTTCAAAGAAATCAAAGTCCACCAAAGAACGAATTTATAATTATAAATAATACGGAAGATCAATAGTTAATATTGCAAGTAATTTGGGTTGTTGGGTAAGTATTTCATAGTCAAACGCCCTACTAAGAGCTTAGAGATATCAAAAGCAACACAAACCAAGATTTTAAAGAAACATTAAGATAATGAAAATGATTCTACTTGTTGGAAGATGCATTCTTTTTATCCGAATGAGACTTTCTCATTGTTTGGCATCATCCGTAAAGATACATTAACAACAAATGATAACCTAATATTTTAAACAGAAGCCTTAAAGACACTTGCCTCATTATCCAGGGGCTACGTTAACAAAAAAAGAAAAAATAAATAGGCTACTACCTGATGTATTATTTCCTTCTAGCTTTGATCAGGGAAAGCGAAAACAATGTACTTAACTAAAAGAGTGTTTAATAATAATAATTGTATCATACTTGAAGACAAGTGTATCAGCTACATGGACTATTATATTAATGTGGCGGCACAATAACACGTCGGTAAGCGGAGAAAGATAAGTGGCCTTGTGGTCTAGTGGTCAGGATACCTGCCCGGCAAGCGGGGGGCGTGGGGTTCGATTCCCACCGAGGCAACAACATTTTCCTTCGCTTACTTTCAATTAAGTATAACCAAAACGTAAATTTATCATTTATATGTATTTTTGTTGACACAGATAAATAAGTAACTGAAATGAAAATTATAAATACATTGAAAATCTATATATTTAAGTTTCGGCCTTCTTAGATTTGATTACTAATCAGTGCAGTATATTTCAATGATGGTTATGTCTAGTATTTGAAAGAATTTAACCTTATATCTTTATCAGTGCAACATCTGCTATATCTCATCAATAAATAAAAACTGACCTATAAATTAGTTTAAAGGTACATAAATATTTCCGACGAAGTTAGTAACTTTAGAGACGGGATGAATAAAATAATTTTAATAGTTGTATTGTAACCATAGTATCTGTAGTATCTGTAGTATCTTTGCCAATATTTTAGAAAATTTCCTTGCGTAGATTCTGATATAAACTCTAAAATTTGCTTTTAAAACTGTTTTTCTTATGGTGATCTATATACGTCATAAATTCCTAGACGGGATGAACAATTGAATTCTCACTAAAGATTTATGAATAAATTAATGTTATGATAACTAGTGTTACTACTACTATTATTATTTAAATTATTGTGTATCTAGATAGTGTGGATATATTTTATTACAACTTGAATTTTAAACTTCTATTATACAGGGTGCTTTAACTTTAGAGCACTATTATTCAATTATAATGGGGAATTATACAGGAAAAAAATAGTAAATAATGTTATGAATAATGAAAGCATGGTTAATTCCTTAAATATTTATGTGTATCAGAATGGTCAACATTACTTTCCACCGTAGTTAGTTCACACCAAACAAATCTTATGGTAATATTTTGGTAATAGTTAAATTTTTAGAACTTACCAAAAAAATACGGAATAATGGCAAATTTTTGCTTATAAAACTAACGATGGTGAAACGTAGTTTTGTTAACGTAAAAATTTTTTAAATTGTGTATCCTTTCTATTTGATAGATTTAGAACGTATGCAAGGGCTTGGATTTTTGTGTTTTAAAGATTTTTTAAATGGGTACATACGCCTCAAAATGCACCTATTTCATCTGATTAACTTCACCTAATCGCGCCATGACGGCGGCAAAGGAATACAGATTCCTGTAAATCTACAAACACAACTCACAAAGTTAAGTTGAAAAAAAAAACAAACAACTTACCTTCATGCCTAATTCGTAATTGCAAGCAATACCACCAGTAAATTTCAGCTTTAGAGGATTTTGAACATTAATCAGCGTTATCAGAATTGTTTTCCTATTACTCGTATTAAATGACAGCCAGCGAATACCATAGACTGCGTCGCAAATTGATTCAGTCTTCAAAATATCGAACAATTACATCAAGTAAAATTTTTTAGTTTACCTTACTTCGTTTTCTAATTGCTGACCAAAATAAACGTACATAATTAGACCGCTAATAGCTGTAAAGCACCACATAATATTTTGGAAGTAACACCAGTAACCGAAAAACTCGCCCTAAAATAGATTGTATAGATTTCTTGTGTGTTGAAAACTTACTTACCTACCAGATACACAAAACTCATAGCACTTAGTCCCATTAGAACTCCCGATGTGGCCATTGGTGGTATGAAGTGTTTTGTCAAATCACTACCGAAGTTTACCATTCTACAATAAAATCAAAAAATTAGTCCAAGTTTATTTTGATAGAATTTTTTTAACGACAGACAGACAGACAGACGGAACGGAGGTCTATTATTTCGTACTCTAGGGGTCATGAAACGTCAAAAAAACATAAAAGTAGCCAGTTGTCCGGCAGAGTCGATGACAATATAAAAAAAAATGCTTACTTTATCAGCATGTTGATCTTCACGACCATCTCCTTTAGTCTCTCTTTTACGACGGCTTGATACTCCTTTAACTCGAGTAATTCAGTGTCGTCTTTATCCTCGTAATCGTCGACTATCTCTTGGATATAATCCAGCAATATATAAATTTGAAATTTTGTGTGCAAAACAAAGTACATAATGCTATATGCCAAGCGTATTGACACATAGGCAACTATGGGAAAAGAAAGATAATACATTCCTTCTACGACGTATAAGGGGTAGTAATTCTCGAAGAGTAGGACAGCGAATTGCAGGTTTCTTTCTTTACCCACAGGAATAAGAACGGCTCCGGTTATCAAAACAAGCACCAGATGAACTTTAACAAATTTATTCGCAAGTTTTGATTCTCTCAAAATGCGATCTTTTGACTTTGATGCAGCGTTACGGAAACCGACTACGAAAGGTAGAGAAACTTCGATGAATTCTCTCACAGCGGATCTTTTCCATAGTAGAGTCGCAAAGTTTATAGTCACCTAACAGACGTAAAATTATCAACAAAAGTAAACATAAAAATGTAAATAAATAGTTGCTTAGTATTAAAAAAAACTCACGGCGACAAGAGCCAAGTACGCTGAAACGTAGTGAATTAGAAACTCCGAGGAGAATTCCTTGATGAAGAAATAGGTGTTAAAAACTGTCAGAACTGCATGGAGAACGAGTATAAATATTTGAACTACGATAAATAACGGATTTTCAAAGATGCCCCATCCCAAGAGATAAACAACCGACAGAACATCATCTGAAAATTACACTTGTTTGTAACTTAGAAACATTGTGTCGTTTAATGAATAATTGAATTCAAGCACAATTCAAACAACATAAAAACATCTAGTCAATAATATGATGTGTAATTTGGTTTTTACCTGCTTGTGGTTGAAAAATTTTAAAATATTTTTTTAACATTTTTCGTGCGTGTTAGAACAAAGAGGACTAAGTTTACACTACAAACTTCTATGCTAAGACGTCCACTATTGACTTTTGTAATAGATATCGATTACGTATTATAAAAGAACTATTATTTAGATGACTTACCTTATAATCAAGGTTGGCACTAAGTAATAGTCGATACTTTGTTTAAACATAATGATAAATCGTTAAATGCTGATTTAATTATAAAAGAACTACTTATCCATGGCAAACAGTGAAAATATAAAAAGTTATACTGTTATAAAATATGTTCACTATGTCATTCCATGGTCGACAATTATATTTGTTTTGCACAAAGCGTTTAAATATTCTGAACATTCTATTTATATTTCTGAAAATGTTGACTCTTAGGAATCACATTACACGTGGTGGTTGTGGAAGTTGTTATATATACTTTTTTCATATTGTACAATTCCATCATACATATTTTTCTGTGTAATATTTTCATTTGTATATGTTTACATATTATAAAGGCAATGACTCTTCGGAGATTAATGAAATATTTTTAGATAAGCTAGATTAATAAAAGGTTCTTTTTGGCCCTCGGACGATAATAAGAGTCATTATTATCCGTTCACGTAAATTACATCTACAAAGAAAAAAAAATTGGTCCAAAGAGTTTAGACAGTACTTCCCTCGCTGTCGGAAACGTGACGACGGCATGCCTGTTATGTTTTTTTACTCATTACATTTTTGTAGCGGAACTTTTTAAAAAATTTTTACGATGACGTCATCAAGATTTTTGCAAGGACACGTATATCAGTTTCGATAGATATAGTGTCGTAACACTAAAAAAAAATAAGGCTAACTGAACGTCAGTTGATGATTTTAAAATCCATATCCACGACATAATAGTAATAATATTTTTAGTCGTTTTCAGGTCTCGGTCTCGCTGAAAATAAAACTATTTCTGTAAATTATTAAAAATTATGCACAATTGGAAATCGAGAAACAAGTATGGCAAAGATGCACCGGCCGTACTTTAGACGGGTAGATAGGATAAATAAATTTCGACTGCCCAGCTTTATTTATAAACAACGACGTAATAGCAAAACGCATCTGTGCGTGATGTTCGACGTCCCGCATGCTGTTGAATGCGCTAAGGCCATAAAAGAAAGTTATGAGTGCAAAAAATTTATTTATATTTGTTTGATTTGAATGAGTATATCGCCCCAAAACAGATGACTAAAATTATTCATAAACCTCCATTGAACAACATTTTCTGAATGTTATTATTATAATTCTTACCTTATCATTATTTTATTCATGACAAGAATTACATAGTAATTTTTTATACGTCAAATATAAGTAGGTACACTAGCGAAAATTAAATTTTACAAATTCTTCTAATGAATAAAAAACATTCTCAATTAATAAGGTTTTTACACAAAATCTAAAACTGGCGTAAATTTTGTCTTTAAGAATTAGTGGAAGACTGTTAAATAGCTGATGACAAAAAAATCGTATACCATTTCTTGTACGTGAAAGCCTTAGAAATTCGGGTTGAAGTAAGCTTTTATGTCTTGTATCAAGCCCTCTAAATTGATCGCTGTTTCTTTTTGCATACAGGAGACAGGAGAAAATGTATATAAAAGGTACAGTAATTATTCCTAGCCTTCTGTAAGCATTACGGCAATCGTCTCTATAATTCAGTTTACTCATAATAGGTACACACTTTCTCTGAATAGCAAATAATTTGTAGAGATGACAGAAATGACCCCAAACTAAGATTGCGTAGCAGATTTTACTGTGTATGTAGCCAAAATAAGCTGTTTTTATAGTGGATGTAGATACAATATGTTGCAAACGACGCATGATATACAATCTTTGGGAAACCGTCTTCGCTAATTGAGTGATATGAACCTCCCAGGTCATCTTGCTGTCGAGTAAAACTCCTAGTAGTTGAACTGGTTCATTATTATTTATAATTTCTAAATCTCTAAGACCAAAGTAAATTTGCTTAGTTTTTTCTTATTAAGACATAGTCGATTAGAGATAAACCAAGCATTCACGCTCAACTCCACTATACTAATGTTACTCTGAAGTGTTTTTAGATTTGGGGGAGTAACTATGAGTATTGTATCGTCTGCATACAATATAAAGTTAGTATCATGAGCGCAGTCAGGTAAATCGTTGATGAAAATTAAAAATAAAATCGGTCCTAAGACCGACCCTTGCGGTACACCTTGCTGCACAGTTAGACATGACGAATTTACATTATTAAAATGAACAAATTGTTTACGTTCATGCAAGTACGATTCTAACAATTTAATACATGAGTTGTCTAAATTATAATAGGCTAATTTTTTAGACGTAAGCTATGTGAAATACAATCAAATGCTTTTGTTAAGTCTAGACATAAAGCGTGTGCATACTCTTTGTTCTCAAAGGCATTTAAGACTATATCACTTAATCTGTTTATAGCTAGGGTTGTTGACGAATTGCGACGAAAACCAAACTGATCTTTATTGAATAAGTTATTGTGTTCAAAATGATTACAAATTTGAGTTTTTAAAATAATCTCCAATACTTTGCCTAGAATGGGAATTAAAGAAATTGGCCTGAAATTCGATGGATCATTCAACGATCCCTTCTTATGGATTGGTATAACTTTTGATAAATTTAAAACATCAGGGAATATACCTTTATTAATACAGATATTGATAAGTTTGGTAAAGGGAGAAACGATAACATTAATTAAGGTTTTTATTATTTTAACGTTGACACCATAAGCATCATAACTACCACTATTTTTTAAAGTATTGATAGCATCTCTCACACTATTAAATGTCACTTCTTGAAAGATAAATTTAGGAATATTATTATTTGAAAGAAAATTGTAAGATATCTTATTAGCTTGTGGTAATTTATTAATGATATCATCCGCTATACTCACGAAATATGTGTTAAATTGCGTTGATGTTATTTCAGAGTTCGATAATTTATTATGTTGCTTATTAGGATTAATAATATTCCACATTGCTTTTTGTTTATTAATAGAGTTTGCAATGTATGTATCGTGTGATGCTTTTTTTCCTTTTTGTAATTCACTACGGTATTTCTTTCTGAAAATAGCAACTTCTTTTTTAGTTATTAAACTCTTCTTGTTAAGTTCACATAAAAATTTGAGTGTATCTCTCATATGACGTAAACTGTTATTAAACCAATTTATTCCATATTTCAGGGTATTATTCCTCCGGACAGTTTTAGTTGGAAAACGTGTATTTATAGCTCTAAGAATAGTGTCATTAAAGAAATCAAACTTATTATTTACATCCATGTCATGATCATTTATAAAACTCCAATTTTCTAGTTCAATTATATTGTAAAGTTACATCAGCCCTATATTAGTAATTGGTCTATTGTTTGTACCACTTGTTTTGTTATTGCTTAACCAAAAACTGATACACACACCACTATGGTCAGAAATATTAGGATCATGTACAATTGCTTCATATTCAGATGTAGGTAGGTTGGTAAAAGCATTATCTAAGCAAGCATCATTTCTCGTTGGATCGAAAACGGTTTGCTTTAAATTGAATGACAACATCATATTCACAACCACTTGTGTCCGGTAATTACGACTATTAAGAAAATGCACATTAAAATCCCCTACTATAATATTTAGTTGTTCGATAAAAGTATTAAAATCAGCATCTGGTGACCTATACAGACTTATTATGAGTACATTGTCGATTTGTATGCCAGCAAATTCACAATGTTTTTCTTGAGAGTATTTATTCAAATTTATACTTTTTATCCTGTCTAAAATTGAATTTATTACATAAATGCTTACTCCACCATGTGTGGAGACACTTCTACTAAAGAATGAAATCAGCCTATAATCTTCCAAACACGTCTGATTACAATCGAAATTACTGAGCCAGTGTTCATTGAAACATAAAATCTCAAGAGGTTGTGAACATTTTAAAAATGACTCAAGTTCTATGAGTTTATTATTAATGCTTTGGGTATTAAGATGATATACATTAATTAGATAATTACGAGAAGAAATTTTGTTGGAGTTTAATTGTTGTTGTTTGACCGTTGATTCACTAAAAAAGACTTAACATTGAATTCTCTTAAACAAACAGATTCAGGCCATACATCAGCGTTGTAAATTTTGTCATAAAGTTCTGTTGGAACACCGATACTAAAAGCAGAGTTTTTTCCCTTCGTTTGGAGCTTCTTAATCTCAATGTTTTTAATTTCGGCAAATTCACGGATGTGATCGGCAATGTCTTGGACGGATGCAGTGTTTCCGGAGTTATGTCCTACATAAATCCATTTGCGTCGAATAGCGCCCTGAATGTTCGAGGACGACGACAATTTTCCAGTACCATATAAGGATTTACCCTTGGATATCCCACCTTTGCGAGTATTGTTGTTGCTATTACTGGATCTGCTTTCTACCGTTTTCCACTTTAAATTTTCTTCAGAAACATCGATTTTTGTTTGTGTGTCTTCAAATGTGCTTTTTTTATTTACAATGATATTATTCTCTGGTACCTCAGCTGAACTGTAGATTGCAGTAAAATTTTCGGGTGTTGTCACCGGGGCTGTACTCTTATCACGGTTTTCATTGTAAGGATTTTGAATTCCTTTGCGTTCCCATGGTTTGAAATTCGACAATTCCATTTCTTTCTTTTCATCGCCTTTAAAAAACGAAGTGAATGTCGGCTTTTTTACTTCCATTGAAGAACTTGGCGGGATATTAGCCGGTTTTTCTTTATCAATTAACTTAGTTTTTATATCAGCGACTTCTTTATTAAGTGATGAAATTTCCTCATTTTGCTTGGTAATGATCGCATTTTGTTTTCTAATTTGATCTTGGCAGGATAACAAGGCGGACTTAATGGACATCAATAATGATCTTACGTTTGTTCCGACGATACGACACTGGTCGCAGAACCATAACAGCTTCGTACCATCGAGAAGGATCTTCTGTTCGGATTTTTTTAGACAAGTACATTTGATGTGATATATTATACTACATGTACCACTACACTCAACTGTGTCTTCGTTTTCTTTAAATTCGAGATTGCAAACGGAGCACTTAGGTTCATCGACGCTCATCGTTGCCACTCAAAGAAAGAGTTATTGTTATAAAGACGAGCGTATTCTCACATTTTCCAGAAAATCGGGTGGTTCGTTCTTAATTTGATAAATAATAAATTGACTGATTCAGTAATTTTTTGTGTTACCTGTTTAAGCAAATCTGTAAAATATGAATGCAATGATTAAAAGTCTGTTCATATTTTACATATTTGTCAAAGACCTTATTCGGCAAAATTTTGAGATGCGGTAATCAATGTTTTAGGGTTGATAAACAGATACATTTTCATTAAAATGTTATCATGCTTACAATAACTTCAAAACGTCAAGATTTCAAAGTATTCAGTTTGACAGTTCTTGATTTAGTCAATAAAATAAATTGACTTAGTCATTAATTTTTTCACACACCCCGTATATGCAAATATAAAAAATACTTTGCACAATTTTTTTGGTCACTCTGTATATGCAAATCTAAAAATATTAATGGAGTCATAAATTACAAGTACGAACTCATCATATTTTCTACATTTTAGAAAAGATTTATTCGGTATTTCAAGTCAATTTTTTGGAAGGGACAAGTAAATATATTTTGAAAAAAAAACTTATCATGCTTATAATAACTGTAAACCATCTGCAAGATTTCAAAGCATTCGGTTTTGCATATTCCAAATTAAATGTCAAAATGTTGTTTCCTAATTTAGATTTTTTTTCCAAAAATCTGGACGTTTCGGATAAAATCTCAACTCGGAGTCATAAACTACATGTGTAAGACTATGTTACTTGATACAATTTAAAACCCATTTACTATGTACAATTTTAAAGTTACGTCATCACATTAGAGGTGGGGATGATTAGACAAATTTTGGTTAGCGTTTTACCATTTACATGTAGAGAGCGGAATTCTAGGTTTAATGCTTTTTGTGAAAAATGTAAGCACTTCAAAACTTTTTTATATCTGCAACTATGATACAATTTGGAGTCATTTGACACATTTTTTTTTATGATTATTTGCGTTTTTTCGATTTTATGCA